GTTATTTCTTGGCAGAGTTTTTGTCCAGTTGAACTACCTCTTTGTGTCAAAGGGGTGTTGAGGTGCTTTATTACAATAGTGTTATTAATTATATGGGTCTTCATGCCTGTTAAGATTTGTCTTATATAGTTTGGTGCTCCGAAATTTGGTGCATTCATGTTTATGATTGTTATCTCTTCCTATAGTTTTCCCCTAACAAATACATAGTGACCTTCTTTATCACTTTTGATTGTTTTCAGTTTGAAGTCTACATTGTCTGCAAACATAATAGCAACACCTGCTTTTTTCTGGGTTTCTCTTGCATGGAGGATTGTTTTCCATCCTTTGACTTTCATTCTATAGATTTCCTTTTGAGTAAAATGTTTTTCCTGGTACATCATATCGTTGGATTTTGTTTCTTAATCCACTCTGCCAGTCTATTTCTTTTGACTGGTGAATTGAGGCCATTTACATTTACAGTTATAACCAATATGTGTTGATTTATCATTGTCATGTTATTTACTTGCATTGGTTTCCTACTTTTTGTACCTGTTTAATTGCTTGCTCTTTTTGATGGCTCCATTCTACTGTTGTTCTTGAAATTGTGGTCAGATTTTTCTCTGTCTAGAATATCTTTTAGTACTCTTTGCAGTGATGGTTTGGCACTCATGAAGTTCTTCAGTTGTTCTTTGTCATGGAAATATTTTATTTCTCTGTTGAATTTGAGAGATAGTTTGGCAGGGTATGTCAGTCTTGGTTGGAAGGTGTTTTGTTTTAGGACCTGTAATACTTCACTCCAAGCTCTTCTCGATTGGATGGATTGTGCTGAGAATTCTGCTGTGATTATGATGGGCTTTCCTTTATAGGTAATCTGCTTCCTTTCTCTAGCAGCTTTTAATATTCTGTTCTTTTGCTGGAAATCTGGGAACTTGACTATTAGGTGTTTGGGTGTAGTTTTATTTTGGTTATGGTTAGTTGGAGTTCTACATACCTCATTTACCTGTATGGCAGGTTCTGCTTCCATGCTTGGGAAGTTTTCTGCTATTATTTCTGCAAATATTCTTTTTATGTGGTTTGTGCTGCCTCCTGTTGTTTCACTAACTCCTATTAGTCACACATTATTCCTCTTTTCCTCGTCTTGTAGTTGTTGAATTGATTTTTCCTGGTTCCTCGTTGATTTTAAGACATCCCTTCTTTCATGATCATTAGCTGCCATAGTGTCTTCAAAATCTGAAATTTTATCTTTGGCTTCATTCAAGCAGTTTTGGTAGCTTTCAATGGAAGCTCTGATTTCCTGGATGTCTCTTTGAATTTGGTTCATGTGTTCTAATTCATTTCTATATTTTTTATTTAATGTTTCCATCCATTGCCTATGTACTTCCATTTTTTTTATGTTTCTGCTTTAGTTGTGCTGAGCAGTTCTTTCATTATTATTGTCATTTCATTTTTTGCCTGAGAGATTATTTCTGATCTGATCTGTTCTATGGCCTGATGGAGTTATTTCTTTACTTCCATTGCAATCATTTCAGCAATTTCAGGTGTGTGTTTACCAAATTCTCCTATGTTGATATCTCCTGAACTTGTTCTGAGTGGGGTGGAGTTCTGAGATTGTGTTTTAGTCTTCATCTTGTCATGTTTGATATCAGATGCAGAAAGCTCAATCTCTGTCTTCCCTGGCAGCTCAACAAAGCCCACTAGTGTCCCTAGTTTTCCTGATGGTCAGGCTTGCCCCTCAGCGTCTACTGAGATGCATTATTTAGTCTGGGGTTTTCCGGTAGATGGTAAATTGTATCTAGTTATCCCAGGTTTCACATGCAGACCGTGATGTCAGTTGATGGCAGACCGTCTGATCCAGCATCCCCTCACAGGTCAGGGCACTTGTATGACCCAAGCTCAGGTTGCACTGGTGGCACAATCCTGGTCCAGTGGACCTGTGTCCCCAGGCAGTTCAGGGTACAGGCAAAACCCAGACATAAACTGCAGGGTCAAAAGTTTGTGTACCACCTGATTCTGTTTCTCCAGTCAGTTCAGGACACGCACAGGAGGCAGACATGGGCCACACCAACAGCAATCATAGACTGCCCATGTCTGTGACCTTCAGGAGGTCAGAGTGCAAGTAAAGCACAGACTCGAACCATGGTACCAGCAGCTTGTGGCACACCTGCTCACTCGGTGCAGGGCATGTGCAGGGAAGGCCTACACATGAACCCCGGTGAGAGTAGTTCATGGGCCTTCTGAGTGAGGATCTTGTGCTAACTTTAGATTTTAAGCTTATAACAAGTGCATAGAGCATTTTTTACTCCTTCTGATAAAGTTATAAGTAAGTCACCATAAAGACAGATCTGAGATTAACAAGGTAAGAACATTTTTAATATTTGTGTGATGAAAGCTCATTATTTCATTATTCTTCCTAGGCATTAAATATGTTATCTATTTGTTCTTTAGTTTTGTTGGGTTATTTGCATTTTAGGTTAATACATAGTCATAGAATGAACAATGAAAATGCTTGTATTCAGATTTTTTATTACCTCATTATTTATAATTTCACAAAACCCACTTATTATATTAGTAGAGAACCCTCGTTAAATAAATGAAGGTAAAGCATAAATTATGATATGACTTATGGTAGATCTATAACATAAAAATGGTGCCAATAAGCACACATTGAGACATTTCTGGGAAATAATGTTAAGTGAAGGATAAAGTAAAAAAAGAATATTTAATGTGCTAACAATTGAGAAAAAGGGAAATAGGAAAAATGCCTAAGCACAAAGAGATGCTTGTGTTTTCATATGAAATACAAAAAATGTGTTTTATGCATATTCCCACTCCCCACAATGAATGCAATCACAATATGTAGCAAACATGTACCAATAAAAATAAGAACAGAAAAGAACTATATGAGAAAATACTGTAGTTTTACGAGGGAGGACCTGAGAGTATAGCAGGAAGGGTATAGGAAAGAATACTTACGTATACGTTGTTTCCTATAAGTTTTGGAGGCGGTTAATGTTCAACATAATCAAAACATTAAAAAGTTAAAATGACAGACTGAAACTAAAAGCAAACTTAAATAAATACACCTCCTGAGGAAAAAATAAAAACACTATCCAAGTAATTCACCATTACATTATCTGACACAACCCTCGCTGTTAGGAGTGGCATTTCTTTCTGCTGGAGAGAACTTCTGAGAGATACTGAAAGTCTTTGAGGCACTCTTACGTGCTACTGGTAGGTCAATGGCAGCAGCTGAGGGTGGAGGGTCATACTTCTCCAGCCATGCCAGTGGGTCTCAGAAAGGACTAGTGGATGCCACACAGCATTCTTGGAAAGTTCTAAGGGATTATTTACATAAGATTCTCAGTTCTCAGGAGAATCACTGGTTCTTCCCTGAACCCCCAAATCATTAGCTCAGCTCTCACAGCGGGTCATATCAGAAAAACAATGGAGGGCTTTGGTGGTCCTGTCACTGCACAAGAAGGACTAAGAACAACAGATGGTAAGAATGTTGACTAGACTCAGATTTTTAGGTTTATTTGTTTTACTGCTGCTGGGTTCAAGTTCAAGCAAACCTCCTCCTAGAGTCAGATCAATTGATCCATGACACAGTCCAGATATTCAACCAAATCTTTGAACAGGCAACCGAGTCTGCCCAGAAAACATGACATAAGAATGACAATTGTGTGTTCTCCACTGGGCAAGCCAGAAAGAAATCTGTGGGATTATTTACCAAACAATGGACAGAAAGGAGTAGTAGACTGATGGAGCTCAAGGCCAGAGGCTGAGCCATAGGGGCTTCATCAGATACTACGGCCTGTATTTGATGGCCACTGTGACAATTACAAATGATATTTCCTCTAACCTTCTGAGTGCATTCTGAGACTTGTGCAGTTTGTCTCTTTGATGAAGGAAGTAATCTTATTAGCATGGTACATTATGAGATCCTCATACAAGCTCTTCCTTTTTCTACCCAGATATCTCATTTCCATAAAAGAACAGGACTAGAGCTGATGCGAGGTCCCTATGCCCCTGAAGATATGAGGGCCTACATCAAAGTCATGGTTCAAAGTAGAAGCAGAAGGAAATTACATTTCTTGAGCCTTTTGTATACTAGTAAGCAAATTACTGTGATCCTCACAATCCTTATCATGAAGATGAGGAGGCTCATTCTAACTTTTTTCTTTGTCCATCACTAGCAAGAAAATTTTCCATTGGCAACTATAGGCTGATCCCTTCAGGTCCATATAAATCCCCATAAAGAAAACATATCTAGCCAATAAGACTTTCAGTGGTAGGCTTTTCCTTAGGAAGAACAGTAGCATTATTAACTCCCATTATTTCTTTGGATTTACTGTAGTTAAGGAACTTTCAGTGAGTTATGTGGAAGATCATGAAACAACCAAACTACGAGCTCCTAGTGCCAAATACCCTGGGGAAGAAAAAGAAGTAATTACCTTCACTGCTCAGCTTTAAAAAAGTCAACTATCTGTAAAGTACTTATCTATTCAATATTCCTATCTGTTCTGTGGACAAGACCTTGTATATCTAGGCTCTGAAGTAGGGACTCACAAAGCACCAGTGCCACTTTCAGCACCCTGACACTGTGACAGTGACTCTTTCTGCACTCTTCTGACTTCAACTCCTTATTTCTCTAACAAACATTATTGTTTGGATCCTATGGAAGTTTTTCTGTAGTAGTACATACCAGAGTTGCCTGGCAGACTTTGGGCCCAGGAAATGCCACAGTCAGTTGAAAAATATTCATACTCTGAGAGACAGTTATTGGCCTGTTATTATCGCTGGTAGATACAGGCAGCATGGCCTTGATCATGAAATAGTCTTAGGAAAGAATTCTAACGAAAACATATTAATATCTTTGAATTTTGGCCTTGAGTTACTTTAGAATATTCATATTTTAGGGTCAAAGTGTAAAATATCCATAAATTATAAGCAATTATGAATCAAAGCAAAACCCTGATTTTTAAAAAAAATTTAAAATTACCTATAACAATTATACTTACTACTATGTATTTCTTCTTTGGAAAGTTTTTGTTCCTTTACTTGCATTACGAGTTTTGACACTGCATCTTGAGGTTCAAACACAGAAGTTTTGTCTGGTTCCTCATACTCAGCTACATAAAGACAGAATGACCTTGGTTGTGAAATAATCTGATAAGATTGTAATGAAAACATATGACTACCTTTGTTTGTGGTCTTGAGCTTCTTTAGTCTATTCATACTTTAGGGTCAAAGTGTAAAATTTGTATAAATTATATGCATTCATGAACCAAAAAGACCTGATTTTAAAATATTAAAGTTACTTATAATTATTATACTTACTACTATGTCTTTCTTCTTTGGAAGTTTTTTCCTTCTTTACTGGCATTTCAAGTTCTGAAATCTCTACATCTTGCTGTTCAAGCATAGAAGTTTTGTCTGATTCTTCACCCTGAACTACATAAACAGAGCATGACCTTGGTCATGGAATAGTCTTATGACAAAATTCTAACCAAAACACATGACTACCTTTGATTTTGTCTTCAGTTATTTTAGAGTATTCACATTTTTTAGGGCCAAAGTGTAAAATTCTTATAAATTATATGTATTATGAACCAAAGAAAAAAGAACTGTTTTTCTAAACTTTTTTCTTAGTGAACTTCTTTTTATTTTACTTAATTTTTTTTAAAGAGAAAAAAACCCCAAAGTTTCAAAACAAGATAACAGGAGAGTAACAATGGTTAATACATTGCATATTTTTATCTTCAAAGCAGTTACTCAGCATGCAAGATACAGGCATAAAAAATTGTGCAAACAATATTAGCCCAAATCTTCCTTTTCAATGAACTAAGAGAAATTAGTAGCATAATTCTGAATGTAAAGTTATCCTGCAATTATTATACTTACTACTATGTCTTTTTTCTTTGAAAGCTTTTTGTTTTTTTACTTTCATTCCGAGTTTTGACTCTGCCTCTTGATGTTCAAGCTTAGGTGTTTTGTCTGGGTCTTCACCCTGAACTACATAAAGAGAGAATTACCTTGTCCTGAAATAGTCTTTTAAAAA